TCCCAGCTACTTGGGAGGCTAAGGCAAGAGTATCAATTAAGCCCAGGAGTTGGAGGTTGCTGTGAGCTATGATGCCACAGCATTCTACCCAGGGCAATAGCTTGAGGCTCTGTTTAAAAAAAAACAAACCCACAACAATAATGAATGCCATCATTCAGTAAGATACCACCACATGTTGTATGAACATAACTGTAACACTGATATATCAAGGTTATGAAACCTCACTGAGTTGTTTGTACAGTGTTGTCAATGTAACCACACAGTGGCAAGTTCACAAACTTAATTGTGAGACTTCATATGTAATTATAACAATTATCATCTCTGTGGAAAGATATTATTTAGCACCAAATTAACTTTGATGTTGCACAAAGTGCTAGATACCATGCAGATGGGACGGACTTGAATTATTTCTCCTAATTCATTTGCAATCTGACAGAATTAACTATATAGGCAATCATATGAGGTCATTTTAATTTAAAAATAATTTAATGATTAAGTATTTATATTTATTATGCTTAAATGAAACAATATATATCATATATTTTTGTATAAAGTAGAAATGAGGAAAACTGACATCTAGTTAACTGTAGAAAATGATTATATCACAAATCACTTGAAGGATGGAAGGCATCAGTACAAGAGTCTGCAGAGGGGTAAAGGTAAGGAATTCCAGATTTATGGCAAATACAGAAAAGTGTTAGGTGCTTGGACTCAGGTAGGAAATATGCTCCTTTGTTAATTACTTAATCTGACTTAGTACTTAACTGATTTAATTTCAGTTTCCTTATTCATAAAATGACAATAATAGTAACAGAGTTGTTTTGAAAACTTATATGGGGAAAAACACATAAGACATGATCTAACTCAAATGAATCACTGCATAAATGATACTAATCCTTAGTGATAGTGAAAACTTAGAAGTAGAGGAGAAATATAATGAAAATGTGTCCATAAATCCTCCACTTGTGTCTTGAATTTTGGGGGTAGGAACTCAATCTGGGTAGTAAAATCATACTTGTTACAAAAAGTTCATAGGCCTTAGATAAAATCAAGACAGCCAAAACTAATTTAATTTCAGGGCTTCTTTTCTACTTTGAAAGACTGGGTCTTTTAAAGTCAAGTCCTAGGTGTGGTACCTTAGCACAGTGGTTACAGCACTGGCCACATGCACTGAGGCTGGTGGGTTCGAACCCAGCCTAGGCCTGCTAAACAACAATGACAACTACAACAAAAAAACAGCCAGGTGTTGTGGCGGGTGCCTGTAGTCCCAGCTACTTGGGAGGCTGAGG